TAACGTGTATTCCTGATGAGCTCTCAGGATGCTTTTTATCCCTTGCTCATTGCACTATGTGCCTCAGCACTCTCTGGATAGGAAGCTTGGCAGAAACAGTGAGATAAGAGTCAGATGAACAGCAAGATTAATGAGAAGAGAAAGGAGGAGGAGACTTGGAGTAGTCAGTCTCTTCCAGCGCTGGCCACATGATAAAGACAGGTTAGAGTTATTCTAATGTCATCACAGAGAGACTAGAAATCTCCAGCAGGAAATTTGGAAACTAGCTCTCCCTAAAATTACTCCATCTGGGGGTGGACACCTTGGAGTCTGCACTCAGCTAGAAATCCTGCACCCCACCCTACAGTGACCCTTACCGGGAGAAACTGAAACTGCAGCTAAAAGGGGTTCCAGCACAGCCAGTGGTTGTGGCCCAACTAAGTTACATCTTGCAAAGGATACTGAAACAAACTGCACAACGTTTTTCAGCCATATAAATAAAGAGAAGGGAAAAAAGTGCTGGGGTCAGAATGCAATGAGGATAGGGGAGAGGTTCAAGGTAATCTAGCTATGGCCCAAAAGCTAAATGACTGCTTTGACAAAAGCTCCAATAAAAACAAAAGTTAGGCAAGGTAGTTCATGAGAATGAGGATGTGGAAATGGTAATTACTACAACTGAGATGAGAGCAAACCTCAAGGAACACAGTACATTGAAGTCGGGGGACCTGAGAGTCTCCATGCCAGAATTTTAAAAGCACTGGCACATGAAACTGCAAGTCCAGAAATCATATTTTTTGAGGGGGGTTGGATCAGATGACCCTTGAAGTCCCTTTCAACCCTATGATTCTGTTAAAGGTGGTACCATTGGACTGAAGTAATACTATATTAGAGAAAGGAGAAAACAGCAATTCAGGTAACTACAGGCCCATTAGTTTGACCTCAGTAGTCAAACAAGACTTCAAAACACATTTGGAAGAAAAGAAATATTAAAGCAATTGACTGGAAAATGGGATAAAATGCAAGATGGATTTATGAAAAGTAGATCATACCAGACTAACCTGATATCTTTCTCTGATAAGATAACTGGCTTTTTAGACAAAGAAAAAACAGTAGGTCTAATCCATCTGGATTTAGTAAAGCATTTGACATGTGGCCACATGAAAAATTCGTAATAAAATTGAAGAAGACTGGAATTAGTGAGGAACAGAAAGGTAAGTCAGGACTGGATAAAGGGTGTTGGAAAAGGGAAGCAAAAGGCTGGAGAAAGGTTACTAGCAGCATCCCTCAAAAATCAATCATGGGACTGATCTTGTATAATATGCTAATCCTGTGACCTTGAATTAAAAAGAAAGACTGTGCTAATGAAATCTGCTGCTGACAAAGTTGAGAAATATTTTCAATACAGAGGAGACCAAGGTATCCCACAAAGAACTGACTGACCTTGAGAACCAGGAAACTAGAAACTACAAGAGCATACACTGGAGTACTTACAACAAAAGTTTCTGCTGTAAGGCAGAAGCCTCTCAGTTGGAAACAAGTGAGGTGGAGAAGGACATGGGGGTGCTACCTGACTTCAGTGTGAGAAATAGGGCTGAAAAAGCAAAAGAACTCCAACAACTGGTAGCTGAGTTTATGATGATGTTTTATAAATAGAGCTGGAGTGACTCGATGGCGCAAGGGATATGTGCCTGCCTCTGACAACAGTCAGCACCAGCTGCATAAGAGGAAGGCGTAAGAGTCCCACAACAGTAGAGATGGGAAAATCTGTCCCGCCCCACCTCTACTTTAGGCCTTGTCCTGGTCTCTCATCTAGAGACCCAGTTAGTAGTTCTCCTGTATACTGAGTCATGAGGTTTAACAGTCATGAAGCAAAATTTGTGTGACCTTGGATATATATTTAAGCCATTTTTAACCAGTACACTATTTCCTTGAGCTCCAGTAGAGGAACCACTCTTGCCCCTCTGCTCAGTCAGACCTATCACCATATTTGGAGTCAGGAAGGAATTTAATCTTTGGTCAGATTGGTATAAACTGTGGGGGGGTTTGCCTTTCTTTGGTGGGGTGGGGGGGCTCTCTTCCTGGGGTCGCTCAGGGGTATATTAACAACTTTTGCAACCATGGGATGTTGGCTGCCATGGCCCCTGCTTTACCTGTAGCAGCTGAAGGTGTTATGTCTCGTGTCAGGGTTGACTGCATAGTTTTGCTAAGAAGTTAGACAATGGATTAGCATACAATGGTTTGGATAGGAATGATCCTGCCTCAGGCAGGGGTTAGACAAGATGACCTCTAGGTCCCTTCCAGTCCTACTTCTCTATGATTCCAATTTCATTGAATGTCCTGCTTGTGCTGAGCTGTGCCAGGCTAGCATCCCAAGAGATTCAAGTCTTCTATTTATTCACAAACCTGAATCATACCAGCTTCCCTCATGCCAGACTTCTCTTATACAATGCCTCATCCCTGACACAAGCCTTCATGGCTCTGCTAAAACTGCCAGCTGGAATTAGCGGGTGCCACTCAGGTGGGAACTGGAACCATCAAGCTCAGAACTTGATCTCATGGTCTAGACTCTAGAGGACGGGGCCCTAGCCCGGCACTCAGGAACCCTGGCTTCTACTTCTGGCTTTGACACTGGCCTGTGAGATGATGTTGGGCAAGTCTCTGTGCCTTAGCTTCCCTGCCTGTAACATGAGAATAATGACAGTTTGAAGTTTCTGGAGGAAACATGCCATGTAAGAGCTGGGTATTTATCACACACCACGGAACAGCCATAAGACAGCAAAGACACTGTTACAAGCTCAGCCTAACTCTAGAGGTGTCAGTCTCTATGTTCCTGAGTGACTTCTTAAAATACACCTCAGCCAGGATGAATACAACAGTCTCCAACACTGAGCTGTGATCACTATTCCTAACTGGCTGTCACTTCTCCCCATCCCCTAGCTAAGTCCACCTACCTTCTTCATCTCATCCACCAGTTCAGTTTTGCCTCTTAAAATGCAAAATTCTTTAGGGCAAGGAGTGTTTATATAGACCTATCACAAAGGGGTCCACCTGGATGAAACCTTTTGGGAATACTACAGTCCAAGAGATAAATAATAATCCTGTTTGCAATCCCCTTAATGGAGCTTGAACATTTTTTTCAACAAAAAGCTTTTCCACTGAAAAAATAGGATTTCATAAAAACAAACAAGCAAAATAAAGATTCTTGATTAAAATGTTTGAGTTCTTATTTGAGATGTGAAAAATTATCAGGTTTGAAGCTTTCCCCACCCCGCAAAGTAAACCTGGATTTTTTCATGAGCAATCTATCCTTTCCTGCCAAAGCAGATTCCCTTCCCGCAACTGTCATTACTAATTAGACCAACTTTAATTTAGGTTTTTTTGTATTTCACTGCCTCATAACACAGTGCCCTTGAGTGTTAAACTGTGAATCAAACACTGTGAATAGAACTAGGGTTGAGAAAATTATTTGCAATCAAAGAGGTGGTCAAAACACTTTTTCTTTTTTGGCAAAACTTCACAAAGTTGTTTATTTTCCTCTGGTGAAAGTTTAAAACATCAGCATAAAATAATCATTGGAGTTCTCAATTTTCAATTTTTTTTTCAAACATTCCTAAAAATGAATATTGTATTTGACAAAGGCAGACTCTTTCATTTGCCAATTGTCTCCAAAATGTTTATAATTTTCTCATCTCTGGTCATAATTCAAAATAAATGGCTAAATACTTTCTGCAAAAAATTCTTAGTCATGGTATTATTCAGGAACAGTTTGTTGTGAGTATCTGATAATGGGAATTTGAGGAGTTTTGATTAGGTACATGGATCACATGGGCATGTTTCTGGCCCTGGACTTTTTAAGCATTACTCTAGAGTTTCTGGTTAAACAAATATTCATATTTTGGATTTGGAATTCATTTTCCTGGATTATTGCTATTACTTACTCTATTTGCTAAAATATTCTGAAACAGTCAGTCCCAAAGGAGAGAAAATGCAGGCAAAGCAATTCAGTTAAAATATGTTTGGTGGTCTTGGACCTATTCTACGGCGAAGCATCATCTTGTAATTTTATTAATCATCAGACTAGTCCTGGCCAGAGACACCAGGCAATGTCAAAAACAGTATTTTATATGTTGTATGGTGCTCCAGATAATGTAAGGTTGCACTCAAGCCTGCACTAAGTCCTGTGAGATAGTGTGCTGCATGCTCATGGGGCTACTTGTCATTTTAGTACTTACTTGCACTTTACCAGTCAGTTAATGATTCAGTCACTCAGCCCCTTGTCTCTGGAACTCACTGCTCATAGACATTTAAAGAGTGAGTGAGGATCCATATCTACATATCTAAGTTCATCACTTGCTGGTTTCCACCCTTTCATGCTCATTCACAAGCTTCTCAGTGTGCACTGCAGAATTAAATTCCTGTCCAGTTTGTCCTACTGGATATTGAGGCTATCAGAGATAAAAGGTGACAGATGGTACAATAGAAGAGCTGACAGGAGACTTCTCCCAGAGTGTAACTTTTAAAAAATGAATAAATTCCAACATAGGCATTGGATCCAAACACCTTCATGCTTTGAGGAAGTCCAAATCTTTCCCAGAACTCTGTGGCATGGACCTGTGCTCTGATTATTTCTCATTTCACACTTCCTATGGCTAGTCTGGGCCAATTTGCTAGAAATCACACATGGAACCATGCGACATCTGGAGAGTTTGGCTAATGTTCAGATGATTCCCATTTTTCTTAAATGTTGGGTACACTTACTATACAGTCTCTGAACTTTCTGAGCTTCATTCACTACTTGGCGGGGTAGGGTGCTCTGAAATCATCGCCACATTACCCAACTGGTATAGATTTTTCCTTCGTTCATTGTGGCATCTCTGCTAAGCCAGAAAACCCTATCCTGGCACAGTCAAACTCTGAAACAGCTATTTAGCCGTACCTTCTTGATGAATTGCCTTTGAAATCCCAGCAACTCAGGTAGAAATGCTCCTACAACCTGCAGTCTGTTGATGAAGGGGGCTTACCTCGCATGACTGGATGCAGTGAATGACTGTTGGGTCTGGATACCATCGCAACCTGCCAGTGCACACAATATTCTAGAGGGAAAGAGAGAGAAAAAGAAAACTGTCAGGTCAGTCAGGAAAGTAGGGTTCCCTACAAGGGTATTAGGATCATTATACCATTATACCTCTGCAATCTCAGTGCCATGATCATTTAAATTCTGCAATAGATTTTGGTGCATCTGTTGCATAATCCTCAAGGATTTTCTCCCCAAGTATTGCTGCCCCACTGAGCTCTGATCCCCAGCCAAAATCCTTCCAGCAGAGGAGGTCTGGATGTGAAGTGTCCTTCAAGCACAGTGCTCATGTGTTTGAAATGAACAGGGACTGAGATTTGGCACCTTTACACAATGTGACAAAAAATTAGCAAAGAATAAAGGGGAACTATAAATGACAGAAGGATGGCGAAGCCAAGTGATGCACTGGCTCAATATACTGGCTTTTCACTCTCACTTCAACTCCGCCGCAGGAAATGCAGCTGGAAACCTCAGGTTCCCAAGCAGCTGTCAGCATGTCACAAAAGCACCACATGGCTAATTGCAGAATTTGTGTTCTCTGTTCAAGAGAGGCTCCTCAGAAATGGGACAAAGTGATATGGTAGTGCTTGTCAGGGCTCCAAAGCTGAAACTGTAAGAGAACTGCACATTGATAGTGAGGTGGGCCAGCAAAGCTAAACAGAGGTCTGTTGCAGAGTAGCTAGCCTGGCTCTACCCACCACTGAAGGCTGCTATTTTGCAAAGACACCCAAGTCTATTGAAAGCAGGGGCCTTGCATTTGCTTAATCATCCATTGCTTGGTTCTTCCTATTACTTAAAAACCTCTTATTTTTAATGAGCACTAATGCCCCAATCCAGTTTTCACTGGTGTTCATATCAAAGAAATCACTGGCTCCAATGGTGCAGAGTCAAGCTCAGTTACACACACACACACACACACACACACACACACACACACACACTTACCTCTGCTACAGATGAATTACAAAGTGAGTGGTTAAGACCAAATGGATACTACAGTGACATGTAAAAGGCTTCTGAACTGAATACTCAAATCATGCTAACTCTGAAAAACTGACTGTTAGGACTCCACATGATTCTTTTGAGGGGAAAAACACCACGCACAATTTCCTTAATGTAAAATTAAAGCAGACTTTGAAACCTGAAGTAGTAGAAACCCATGGCTGAATTGTGAAAACATCCTAGGTGCCACACATGCAAGGGGTAGTGACACAGCAGAGGAGTTATTGTTTAATAAATCGTGTATTTTTCTGAAAAATTATGTAATTGGTTGCAGACCTCCCTTCCCTCCCCAGGTCACTCTGCCAGGGAGGATGGAAGAGCAAGGTGACATGACAGCAGTTCCTCTGTGAAAAATGCATTCTTTCAGATACAAAGATAAATGGAGAGTCTTGAACTGCTCAGTGGGTTCATTGATCAGATTAGCCAAGGATCGGGATATTCAGCCAGCTAAGAACTCCCACTAGTAGGGAATGGTCACGTTTGGATGGCTGGGAAACCCAGTGGCCCCTGAAATAGGATGTTTGGACAACTGAGTGATCTGCTTGGCTTCTATGAAGAGGCACCACCCAGTCTGCAGAAATCTCTGTGCTGGGCTTCCACCTGCTTGACGGGATGCAGTTTTTACCAATGTAGCGGCATAAAGGTACATGAGTGAGAGTGCTCACAGAGCCGCTGCACAGCACTCGTGGTCTCACTGCTGTCTTTTCCACTCCTTGTCATCCTCAAACCCCTCCCCATCACCTCTGAAACAAAATGAGTCACTCAGGCCCCTGGCAAAGTTCATTTAAAATGTGCCATCAAATCTGATTTCCAGTCCCAACAAGTGCCTCTCTTGCTATGCTGTACATGCATGGCAGGAGGCAGATCTGGGGCTGGGGCTGACAATCAGCTGATTTTGGGCTTGGGATCCAATCGGGGTCTGCAACCATCCCTGGTGCAGCTCCTGCTGGGGTGACAATCAGGTGATTGTTGGCCCAGCAGAGACCAGGTAAGGGTCATTTGAGACCCGAGTGAGGTCCCTGGCCAAACCTGAAAATCAGCTGATGGCTGGTCTGTCAGGGACTGTCTTGGGGCTAGTTTGAGATCTCAGTGCCACCAACACAAACTGACAATCAACTGACTGTCAGCCTGGCCACACATTAAATTTAAGGTGTGTGGTATGTGCAGCTCCCTTGTTATTTATACCACAATTACCATGGTAATCACAGCATAAATATATGTGCAAAGGGGACCTTTGTTTAACCAGCCCCCTTTGAATGCCCTGACATGTTGCTTCTTTTCATATTCATCTCCTGACTTTTCTCTTCTCTATTCTCACCCCAGTTCGAACCTCTTCAGACACCAGGAGTGAATTTGTTGCTAAGTCATCACCTCCAAGCCAGCATGCCTGAACTCCTGGCAAGAGGCTGCCACATCTGGGACAGGGACACAGTATGCTGGGTTAAGGCAGACACATCCCATTAAATTAATTTCACCTAACGGCCACGTTGAACACTTCCCTAGTCCAAAGTTGCATACAGACACTGAATAAATGATCCTCCTGACACTCACATCAGATGGGTGTCAGTTTAGCCTCCCCATATTACCGGTCAAGGAATTAGAGCAAGGAGATAAAATGAGTCACTCAGGCCATATAATGAGTCGGTGGAGGAGAGAGAACTGAAACTTAACCCCACTGGAGTCCACTATTTCACCCACCTCACTCCAGGTGAATGGAACCAGGGAGGCCCATTCTTTGCTCCAGTCTGACCCCCTTTTCCCTCCCCGCAGCTACCTTTCAGGAAGACCTACAGACATGGATGTGATTGCAAACCCAAATAGCACGGCCTGAGGGAGCAAAGCATGCTGAGAGAGAAGAAAGACGCATATGTCTGTGCACCAGTAGAGAGCAAGAAAGAAACAGAGGCTGAGGAAGGGAATAAAACAATACGTTCCAGTGACAGCTCCTGGCAAGGGGAATTCTGTTTTCTTAAAATAACACCTTCCCCCGCTCCTCCCACCTCTGCTCTCCTCTCCCCCGCAAAATGCCTCCCCTGCTTGAGAGGCCGTGGCTCTAGCAGACAGAAAGCCAAAAGCTAACATCCCAGAGGCCAAGCGATATGATCCCTCAACTTTGAGGCCTCTATCCAAGGCCCAATTAATGATCCCATATGCCATGGACCTCCCCCCGCCCCCATACTGGGCCCTTCCCAGGCCAGTAATTTGTAGTGGGTCTGATTCAAACTGATGCACAGTAGTATCCACAGGCATGAAGTTCTGGTAACCCTGGGCCTCCTGTGGGTTCCCAGGAGGCGAGGAAGGCAGTTGGATGGGAACACTGGCTCCTAATAATATTGTTTGCTTTATTTCCACCCCCTTCAGTGCATTTCATTTTTATTTTAAGAAATATTACCCCTGATGGAGCCGCTTTTGGAGAAACACAAAGTTAATCCAAAATATTTGAGCTATTTGAGCGGTTCAGCTGGAAAGTGAGCTAGGGGTGGGGAGGAGGAGGCTCTATACTTCATGGCCATGAGCTGAAAATAAAGTGCTCAGGATCCCAGAAGCTGGAGCTGTCAAACAGGTGAGAGTACCCTGCCATGTCTTTGCCTAAAACTCCTGGTTAAAGTTTCATCTGCACTACTACTAAGTTGGGGCGGGAAACAGAAGGACATAGATGTTAATGTATTTGTCCCCTTTCATGTGAACACTAACAATAATGGCTCATGGAAGGGATTTTTCAAAAGCACCCAGGGCCTTTAGGATTAAAAGGCCTATTGAAAATGCAGTAGAACTCATGCTCTTAAATCCCTGATATGCTATTGAAAATCCATCCTGGATTTTTCTAGCAACTCACAGATCCTAAAGCAGTCACCAAGCTATGTGGCCTCCTGTTTATATTTGTGCTGTATATTATATTAGTCATAGTTAAATAGATATTAAAAGAATACTATTAAAGTTGTAGAGATAAGCACCCAAAAGTCAAGAAATGCCAGAATCCAGGCTGCCCATGCAACCTTTTTTGGCTCCTTTGTGCATACACATTAGCATCCAGGCTTTAATGGCATGATTGCCCACTGTGTTTTTCTGCAGGACCCCTGCCTCATTCAGTTATAACACATGGACAGAGCTCACTTATTTCATCTTTTCCTCTACATGGTCTTATTTACTGTCCAGTGTTCAAACCTCTGCTCTGGAAACGGGCTTTCTCATGGCTTTTCTGTGGTGCTAATCACTGTAGCTCAAGGAGCAGAGGTCTGCGAGGGAGTCCTACAAGTTCCCACTGTGCTGCTGACCCACGGCGTTGTGTATGTGATGCCAGAAGATGGATCATGTCTTTTCAGTTTCCACATCAGGTTGAGGAACCAGGAGACAGATCAGACTAAAAGCAGTATCAGTTTGTCCTTCCCCGTGTGAGCCTCATGGAGGGCATAGTAGGGAGTGAAATTCACAGGTATTTCCTGAGAGAAGAGGACTGCTGAGACTTGGGTGTCACTGCAGGCTCTGAAGGGTAGGGTGCTCTAATGGGCACAGGCCCTTGTGCCACTATCCCCTCAGGTCTGATCCTTTCCATCAGTGTCCTCCTTCTACCCAGAACCTATTCCTGTGTCAGCTCCATCAGCTTCCCACCTCAGCCTCCTTCTCACCCTCTATCTAGCCTCATGCTGGGTCTTAACTATAGGTGGTGCTTCCAGTTCCAGTGCTAACATGCTCCATGCTTCACAAACAGGTGCTTCAGGGAAAGCCCCTAACTCTGTAGTTACTCGGCACTGAAATAAGTGAGTCTGATTTTCCAAAAGGCTGAGGCCCTGGCAACTCCCACTAAAAGCCAAGCCCACTGGAAACTCTGTTCATTGGGCAGAGGTGCCTGTTCACTTGATGCTCATGGGCTGCCAGCATGGGAACAAGTACCATGTCTCCAGAGAGGACAGCCTTTTTAGCAGATCCTTGAAGACTCTCTTGCAAACACTCTCCTCCAGTCTCTCTCATTCTGGATCTTCCACCTCCTTACTCTAGCACCATATGGGGCCTGGGCTGGAAGGAACAATATAGCTGTTCCCTTAATCTCCAGCACGTGCTGAAAAGCAGCTCAGGCAGCCAAGCTCAATGGACTCAAAACAATGCCCTTCAAGTGGCAGAAGAACGCCCCCTTCTCTTTACCTGGATTTTGGGAGGTTCCAGTCGGTAGTCCATAGTGTCAGCAGTAACATTTTCGGGCAGGATTACTGGGTCGCTGGGGGGAATTATACAGGATGGTGTACACACAGCACCTGTTGCAGAGGAGACAAAAGGTTTGGGGGCACACTCAGAGTATTGCACTGATGCCCAGTCTCTCCACAGCAGTTTCTTTTGTTGCAGGGAACCCATGGTCTAATGCAGGGCTGTCTAACTAGCAGTCCATGTGCAGCCTGTGAGGGGTTAATCCCTGTCCAGCTTTTGCTTCCTGCCCCTGCCCAGAGGGCAGGGCAATGCAGGGCAGCATGCTCAGTGCAGCTCACCTTGTCAGGGGAGCGCATGGTGCAGTGGAGTGGGGGAGCCTGCAGCCAAGGAGGTGAGGGGGCAGAACACCGTCAAGCATGGTGCAGCAGTGGGGGGTCACCCACCTGCACATATGGTGCGTCAGTGAGAGGAGAGCCCCCATCAATGCAGCACTGGGGGAGCTCACAGCTGAGGAGGGGAGGGGAGGGGGGGGCACAGCTCCTATCGGTGCAGCCCTGGCTGCTATGTTTAACACCCTCAGTCTGGTACTAAGAGCTAGGTGCTGAACTGTGATGGATGCAAGCCCTGGGAAGACCCTCTTTTTGCCAGTCGTGAGGTCTGGGCTAGAATCCCCTTCCAAAATAAGTGACACAGCCAATTCCTATGCTGCCCCCCTCTGTGAACTGGAAAATCAGAGGAAACAAGGTCTAGAAAAAAAGGAAGCAACTGGAAAGCATCAAAGTGACTGCTGTACACAGATAACGCTACCTTCTCCTCAAAGGCAGCCTAGCTGGGCATGAGAGACAGCCATCAACACAGGGCTGTCCTGTGTATTAAGCAGAACCCTGAGTCCTGGGGAGCAGCAGCACAAAAGGCTGCAGCAGGGTGGTTACTGTTTTGGGCCCTCCTCCAAGTCAGCACCCAAAGCAATTACACTATTGATATTATGCTTCCTGCATTGTCTTTCCATCAAGCCAAGCCACCATCCTAACTTCTATGGATTTCGAGGGAACCAGGATTTGATGCCAAGAGAATACAACCTATGGAACTGAGTGCATAGCTTCTAACTTTTGAGCTGTCTTAAAAATTTCCCAGCCAATCAGCACCTGGCAATGCAAATCTTTGCTTGAAAACCCTCGAACAAGAGACGTGCCTACAGTTTTTGTCTTCCAGCCTCCTAAGAGAACAGCACAGTACGGCATTCTTCAGAATTAATTAGGCATTAAATCAGGGTTTCAAAATGCAGGCAGACTATACACATTGACTTTTCTGTGTCAGCACAATGAGTTCAGGCTCCTACAAGCTAAAGGCTAAAGTAAAGTATTTAGAATAATACAGAAAAGCTATGATCTCTGCTTCATAGAAATCTCTAGGGAGGAGAGATTTGAACAGGTAAAAGGTCCAGACCCAAGATAAGCCGTGATTTTCAGGCAATGAACCATTCACGCAATGTACCTACTGACATTGCCTACTGCATTGCTTTGGGATTCATGAGACAACCGGCGCTGGTTTGGGGAATGCTGCTGCGAATGCCCATTTACCTAATGCACCTACTCAATACATGTCTTAGTCTCCCTCAGTAACACATACAAGTCGCTATTATACAACCAAGGCCAGTGGTGACTCTCCATTTCATATCAAAGGGACTCTGTGAGGGCTTGTCCCATGTGTGCCCTATTTCTGAGGTTGGTAATCATTTTGTAGGAAGATACTAGTGCATCTGAGTTTATTTTGCCAGGATGGATTGGAAGCGGTTTAGAGAGTGACTGTAGCAGCTCATCACAACAAAAGTATGATTATTACAGTAACATGTAAAGCCCTGATGAGCTCACAGCTCCATTGTACTGGAAACTGCACATAGCAAGTGCCTATAATCTAAACTGGCAGGACAGAGAAAGGCTGGGGGTAGCAACTGAAAGTGTGGTTTGCCTGAGAAATCATTATTTTATAGAGAGCAAAAAGAAAATGAATCAGCTTGAATCCCAAATTGCAAACTGAGTGGGCAAGGCTGGCCCTTAGAATAACCTGAACACATTTTTGCATATAAATTTGAGAGAAAATAAATATGAAATGCTCTAGTGAGTTTTCTAGAGT